CCCCCCCCCCAAAGAAAAAATAATTTTACGGGTGTGTGATTGTGTCCCATCCCTTTCCCTTCTTGATCCTTCGAAAACTGCCCTGCAACAAGACTGCTTTGCTGTTGTCTGTGTTACCGAGCTCTCTGAGACTAACTTCTTCTTCTTCACTGACCATGAGGGAATCGAGCATCATTTCCCCTTTGAAACCCAAATCCTCATCAAACTGAATAGCCCCGCCTTCACCTATGTTTTTCAAAGCAGAGAAGCCCCACAAACAAGATTAAGAAAAGAACACAAAATACTTGAAACTCCAAGCTGTCCAATCAATCCCAGTCCTCATCTGCTTCATTACCAATTCCTACAGTTACAGCTCTGCCTCGCCCCTCCTCCCCGCTTTCCCCCTAAAAAGATGTCTTTATTCCATTGCTGCTACTAACTTTAAAAAAAACAAAAAACATTTCAACGAACAGTGATGATACATACTGGACTGGCTATACATAATACATGACAGGAAACAAAACAAAGGATCAGTGTTAGTGAGTTGAGTGAAGAGGGAAAATCCTATAGAGACTGGCGCACTTCCTATAAAAAAGTAACTGGTTGCATGGCGTCTTATCTATATATATATATATATATATCTAGAACAAAATATTTAACACAAAAACAGGAGAAACAACACACTTATCCATACATAAAGTGTCTAGAAAAAAAATCTGCAGGTGCCAAATCATGGACACAAAAAGCTTTCCCTGAGAGGAGAGAGAAAAGGTGAGAGAGAGAGAGTGAGAGAAAGTGAGAGAGAGAGAGTGAGAGAAAGTGAGAGAGAGAGAGAAAGTGAGAGGAGAGAGAGAGAGAGACAGAGAGAGAGAGAGAGACAGAGAGAGAGAGAGAGAGTTTTCCCCCAAGATTCACCAAAGCTCTAACTCCGGGCTTGATGACAAACATACATAGATCTAGATCTATATAGGCCTATAGACGGACTAAAGCCAAAAAATAAAATCCAAAACTATACCAAGCGAAAGAATAAAATAAAACAAATGAATGCAGACAAACTAACACACTTGACACACCACTGGGAACACACACAGCAGTTCGTCACTCAGTGCTACTTTCCCTCACTTAGATCTAGATAAAAGCCACCCCTTACTGTCCTTATCCCTTCATCGGTTTCCTCCACAGTACATCATACAAAACTATAACCTGTCCGCACCTAGGTCCGGACACCCACCTTACCTCTCCTCTCGCCACCCGACTCAACCAGTCACTGTACCACGCTTGTCCTCCAGCCAAACGAGTGACAATGGGCTCTCCTTCCCTAGCTACTTTAAACAACTCCCGGTATCCCTCCGTTTCCACACCAACTATAAAATAATTCCTTCTCACCTGAAATCCAACGAACACGTGCGATGCTTCCATCCCGTAATACTGGCCTTCCTCCAGGTCCAGACACTGCTCGGGCTCGACTGGCTCATCTGTAAGAAGTGACGAAAAATTCCCCATGGCGGCGAAGTCAGCGAAGACGACAACAAGGCTTCTGGTGGCA